GTGTTTGATGACCATTTTAGCCTCTTTCATGCTGCAATAATGAGTTTGAATAGCTTCATTAATGACAATTATTGTTTAGAGGGGCACACAGTTTAAACTGGATATTGAAATACTCACTTTTTACAGCTGGCGTGGCAGGTTAGGATATGTAATGTTAAAGAGGCATCTTCCTTTGATCGTAATTAAGAAAAATCATCATGTAAGCGATTAAACATCAGCTGGTTTTGAGCTTTCTGCTACAAAGCACAGCAAGAGACCCAGTGCAGCAGTCTGCAGTACATAGAGATACAAAATTTGAACTGGAATGTTTGAATACAGATTTCATATTATCTGGATTTGCTGAAAATCCACAATTTTAGCTGGAGGCAGTGAGGTCTGCAGCACTCATCCTCTTTGGTAACGAGACCTATTTATAGCAGTTTTTGCACAGAGGTCTCCAGTGTTTTGACTGACGTTAAGACCAGTTGATCTATGGCTACAGATGAGTCCGAATTCACCAGGGCAATTAATTTCTGCTGCTGTCTTTAGACATACACAAGAAGTGTTAATGAGCAAGAAAAATTTTTCAGATAGCCTTTCCCGAGGGGCTTTTAAACAATGTGCCAGCGACACATGCATCTTCAAACAAAGGTACAGCTGTCCTGCAGTGGATGGGAGTGCACGTAGGAACTTGGGTCTGAAGATTTCCTCGTTACTCGCCTGTATGATCAGACATTCATCTGCCAAGTGACAGAGAAGGGGCCACAGCTCATAGCCTGGAGCACCTCGTTAGGAGACTGCAAGTCCCACAGCAGCCGAAACATCGGATACAGCTGAAACTAGGAAGGGGACCCTCTAAGTTAACAATTTTGCACCAGGTGCAAGTGCACTTTTACTGGGTGTCAAGTAGGCTGATCCTCTGTATCATTTTGATGAGTTAAAGGTCAACATTTTATTTTTTTTAAGAGGGATTTAAACTGTTTATATGCTGCAAGGAAGCTCATTCCTACAGACACCTCTCTGCAGTACTGAACAAGCTCAGCTGTGCCTCTGAGACATACGCAAATTTGGGGAGATTTATAAAGTTATGGTGTTCCCAGATATCCTTCCATCTTTTAAAAAGGAGCTTTATAGCAGTTATTCTGTTATGTTTATAAAAGGAATCTATGGTTAGCAATATCTTACCAGTTAGCCAAAATTAGGCTCCACACTTGGATACGTAAAGATAGTCTCTAGGTGGGTTTTCTTATTTTAAAATTAAACAGAACAAACAGAATTTTGTTTTGCTCTCCACAAATAAGCTGATGTTATATTCATTAGCAGCTGGAGAAGCTGCTTGGGTGATTTTCCAAGCACAGACCAGCCTGGATTAAGCACGTAGCATCAGTTTGGGTACCTGTGAAGCCTCATCGGCCTTTTGCTGGAGGACATTCAGTAAACTTTATGGTTTCGTATGGGAGTTGGATAAGTTGGATGACCTACAACCACCACTGCACCAAGCTCCCCTAACATGCTCCACTCCCTACAAACAGTGGGGACAAATGCATCACTCATGATAGGTGCCAGCCAGATTCGTTGAAGGGGAAGCCCCTGCAAGGGCATTCAGGAGAGTGAAGCACACGTTGTCCTTTCTGCTGATGAACAATCGTTCCTGATACCACTGGGGTTTACCACCTGCCGTGTTTGCAGCTGCAGAGTCTGCTTCCATCTCCCACGCACCATCCTCTCTCTTGCACGCAAGCGGGGCTACTCCAACAGCTTATTCATTGTTTTCCTTGCTTTGCTATGGCATAATGGAGCTGGCTGCCAAGCCTGCCACAGTCCTCTAGCTTTTTCATAAACTGCTAGATTTGATTTACAGAAGCCCTGGCTCTTCCCTGCTGAAATCTTGGAGGATGTGCACCACAGCTCCTTTCAGCTTGGGTACAATTTCCTTTTCTTGAGCCGTATCCCATGAATGCGCCTCTGTCTTGTGTGCCTTGCCAACAGCTTCTGCACAGTGCAACACTGGATGGATCTAGTTGTTCAGTGCCTAATTGCTGATGCAATCTTTTCCTCCTATGGAAAGTGAGAATGAAATTGCCTAAATTAAGCAATTGTAGTAGCCTTGAAGGATAAAGCTTCCTTTCTACTTTGAGCTGTTTTTGTAGTAAGGCTGCCATAACTGTGTTTTTCTCCTCTGTTTACTGGCATAGGAAAGAATGAATGATTGGGATTTTATGGTACTTACAGCTTGATATTCCCCCCCCCCCCCCGCCGTGAACTATTCAAGTGACTTGCTCTTGGATTCTTAGCACCTTCTTCCCACTTTTCTACAGGGTTGGGGACAGTCAGAACAGAGAGAAAATACTCCCTTGAGCATGGAGTTTAAAACTTGATGATCTTAGAGGGCAGACTCTTGTCAGCATTGGCGCATCATCATCTCAGCAGGTCCAAGATCCAGCCCTTTGGACAGTCTGTTGTCCCTTTTGGTTAGGAGGGAGCACAGCTGTGAAGAAGGAAAACATGTGAGTCACGATCAGAGGGCTGCAGGAGCTGCAGTTCTCCTTTCCTCCAGCCAAGCCCAGCCCTCTTCTCGTCAAAATATTCAGTTTAATTTTGGGAGGACAAAAGCTTTCAGATGCAACACTCCAACCACTTTCTCAGGTGGAATAATCCATTCTTTCATTACAGCTGCTGTCAGAAGATGTACTCTTGGCAGGGAACAGCCTGACTTACAACTCTTTTACTGATATTTTAGCATCCTGTTTTGTGACTTGCTATTAAAAATGCTATAAATAATGGAGGTAGCAGTGAAGGTATGGTTGGGATTTTACCTGGTTGTTTTTCTCTTATTCGATCATCATGTGAGCTTGAAGAAATTGTGTGATCTCTCTGGACATCCAAATATCTGCAAAACAGGGACAGTATCTGCCACAGGAGTGGCACTGAGAGAGTGTTTACTGCACCTCAGTATGCATAACATACCTTCCTGAAGTAACTATTACACCCAGGGGAAACTCTGAAAGGGCAAATTCTGACATTTGGGCTCTTAGAAGATCTGAAACCTCGTTGCCCACCACGTAGATAAAATCTATGTGTTGCTGTTTTCAAGCAGTAGCCAGGGTGAAGCACGGATGAAATTACTTGTAGGTTTCTGTAGCTTTCATTTTTGTGCAGAGCGCATGGAGGAGACATTTCAGGCATTACTGTAGTGTTAATCCTTCGTGTTTCCCATAATCTGTATAATCCCTGTATTGTCCTTGGCATGTATGCAAGCCTCCTGTAAAGCTTCTCTCTTTAGAAGTTTCATGAACAAGTCAAAAGACGTGTCTTGCTTGACAGGCAAGGCTTGAGAACTTACTCTCTGACTCTTCAAATAACAATTTTTTATACATATCAGTATCTTTTAAAGCAGCATACTTACATTTGAGAGAATTAACATTCTTCTTCCCTCCTTTCTTCCTAACATGTGCACGACAGGACTTCAAGCCGATCAAGGCTGCAAATAGATAACTTTGAAGAGGGGACAATAAACCATCATGGCTTTGTTTTTCCCTTAAGATAATAATCCTCACAGTAATCCTGAAGCTCTGTTTCACAGCAAAGACACAGCACTTGAATTCCTGAAGTATTTCAGTGGTGGTTTTTCTTACTCAGGTTTGTCAAGCAGCCTGATTGCTCTAGGGAGCTTTTCCACATTTTGAGGCAGAGGGACTGTTTCTCCCCAAATCATGAAAAACTAGTTCTGCTGTGTAACTGCTGTTGCAGTCTTAATTAGCTGTGGTTTTGTATGCTCTCATGTGAAGGAGAGTGTTGGCTGCAACTCTCTTGAAAGCCTTTAGCAGTTTGGAAAGAACAAATTGCCTGAGAGGTAGTTTCTGTTGCCGGACTGGTTATCCAGAGTTTGTAAGAGCAAACTAGCTCATCCACTTCTCAGGTTTTTCCGTGCGATCTCATTTGTACAACAGAGTGTCCCCAGGCTACCACGTTGTTCTTGGGAAGAGCTACCATCTAGCAGCAGTAGCTGTGGATGATAACCAGATACTCCGGAGCTGTGGTTAAACATTCCTGAAATATTTAGGGAAAGCAGCATGATTTTGTCAGAAGTTTTTGTGCTTAATTGGTATGAGCACCGTGTTTACTTTGTCCAGGTCTGTTTTATTGTACATCCATGAAAAATAGTCTTGATCATCAATTCCTTAATAAAACAAAGGAAACAAAAGATTATTGGGGAGCGTTAACTCAGGGTTTAGCAATTTATCAAGGGCATACAACATGCCACAATCAGCTGACTATCATTACCTTAAATTCTTAATTCTTATCTTAAATTAAAGAAGCAGAAGCTCCCAACTCTTGGCTCTGGTACGTGCTGTCGAAGTTTTCCCATATACCATCTTGCTCATAGGTATAAAGGCAAGGGATGAGCTTTCATATGTTAATGACTGCCTTGTCAAAGTCTACCACAGACAAGGCTTGCTGCCATAAAACTCTTACCTTATCATGTGCTCCATATTAACATTTGCTGGTGTTGGTTTAACTTATGAACTTAGACGGGGTGGCTTGTGATAGCTCATCTGTGCAATGTGACAGTTCAACATTACGCTTCTAAATCTTAATGAAAGCCCAAGGTCTTCAGACATTCAGATTTAGTAAATGATTTTAAAACATTACTGCTAGATACACATAGAACAGGAATATGGATCAAAAAAGGATGGTTATTTTTTAAAGGTTATTTATGGGTAAATCCTTTGTGTTGCTTATTGTTTTCTCTAGATTTTCTCAAGCAGACCACATATGAAGTCGAGGCGTTCTTAGAAGCTATTCAGTTCTTCCGGCAGGAGAAAGGCCACTATGGGACATGGGAAATGATGACCGGCAATGAAAAAGAGGTAAAAGAATATCTTCCTGATTTTTTTTTTTTTTTTTTGCTTTGGATATAGCAGCTCTGAGGATGGTGAAAGTTGTAAAGCCTCTTGGGAAAAAATGGCATTTTTAAGTAGAAAATCTAGTAGGTAGAAATACCCAAGATTTCAAGATACTTCTTACAGATATATAAGTGATAATTCTTTTTTAATAAACCCCTTTCTGAGTTTTTTGCTAGAAAGTGAAAGAAAATGTGCTGTGAACTAAAGTTGTTGTGTTGTGCTGGAATGTAGGGATGGCCACATTTCCACAAAAAGCTCATACATCTACTTTAATTTTATGCCACGGGGTCAATTGGTGAATAAATGCTGTGTCTAAAACAAGGCACTTGCTAACGTCTCGTTAGCACATTTGCTGCTGTTTATTGTTTTGGTAAATCAGTGAGACCAAAAGCAATACACACCAAACTCAGAACCCACAGTCTGTATACAGCAGATACTCACTGTTGGGCTGTGCTCTCTTTTTCTGTCTTTCATGACAGCTATTTTGCAGGTAAGAGAGATTTTTTTCTTCTGTTGCTGTTACCTTTGTTACTAAACCCAACAGTTTCCTGTTGCTTGTCCTCTAATGCCTCTAGATGCCATCGTAGGAGCTCAGGCTTTATGAAGAACAGCTACATTTTGAAGAATCTCGTCATTTTGCTTTTCCCGTTCTTTGGGAATGAAGCTTTTAGTCCTGAGCTGATAAACTAGTAGACCTACTTATTGTGCCAGACTTCTGAAACAGTCTTGCATAGTAACAGTCACACTTAAACGCTAAAAATTTGTGTACTTCGGTTCTTCAGAAATGAGATGCTAAGCTCAGGGTCTGGGTCCATATTTGGGCACCTGAGTGAGCAGCTTTGGAGCACTGATGGTAGCTGAAGTAACTCCACCAATCCCTCTGGCATCACTCCAGATGTCTTTTAGTGCAATTGAGACATTATTTGGGCCCTGATTTATAAATTTTTTCCAAAGCACTGAGCACTCGGCAGCAAATATTTACTTTAGTACCAGCTGCTGGGTGTTTTCCTTGATGAAATCTGGCTTCCCTTGGGAAAACAGAAAAAAAGTCTGATGGAGAGTTCACAATCCAGGGTTTTGTTTTAAGAAACCAGATTATTCTTTTAGGAGAAGTCTACCTTTGAAATGCTGAAAAATGTGGAAACTGGAGAAGAATCTATAAAGTGTCTTTCCCAGTGCCATCATGTCAGGGATTGAAGTTTCCTGCTAACATCTGATAATAAATTCCTTAGTATAAGGAGTTCCATTTTTCCAGCGGAGGGAGCACGGGTTTTTCTCTTCTCCCCTCCTCCCGCAAGTTATGGAGCTATTATAGTGCTAGTTTCATTTTATGTTTTATTTTTCCTATTGCTTGCCAACTACTTACTCATTACCCATATACCTCGAGAGAACTGTAATCAGAAGACATCCAGACTAGTTATGCTATTATCTTCTTAGTAATAATTCATTCTCTAAGTATAGTGTGTTCTCATGCCTGCTTTGACCAAATATAATAATTATTTTAGGCAAATATCCAAGCTAAGTGAATGTTTGGAACAAGCAATCTACAATTTGTTGCTGTGAAAATCTCTGCAGAATGACAATAAATATATTCCCTGACATTCATTTGTAATGACAGAGTCCCTGCAGCATTAGCTCACGTGATTCTGCCTAGGTACTGCAACATGGACGTCATATTAGCAAGTACCCAGTCACTCAGCTGAAGACCTACTAAACTTTTTTTGTGTCGTAAAAATTCCTTTTCCTGGTTTTGTTTTTGTTGTTTTTTGTTTTTAAGGTTTCATTACTAACAAAGGATAAATTGAATTGTAAATGGTATTTCTGTAGATTAAGTGCTGAAATACAGGGTTTAAACCAGGCAATTTTTGACAATGCTTGCTATAGGCAACAGTACAGCCACATAGTGGGAGCACCACAACACACTAATGTTATACAAGCATAATTCCATTGATCAGTACAACATAGAATCATAGAATCGTCAAGGTTGGAAAAGACCCTTAAGATCATCGAGTCCAACCGTTAACCTATCACTGCCAAGTCCATCTATACCATGTCCTCGAGCACCACACCTATCCGTTCTTTAAATACCTCCAGGGATGGAGACTCAACCACTT